GCAATAGGCCGGCCGGTTTTGAACTACGCAGCGCCAGTGTGGTCGCCTGGGACTAGTAGGACGCAGTGGACGAAGCTACAGACCGCACAAAACACCGCACTGAGGACAGCGACGGGATGCCTCCTGATGACGCCTGAACACCACCTGCACGGCGAGGCGCAAATGCTCCCGGTAAAGGAGCACAATATAATGCTCTGCAAGCAGTTCCTGATCGGGACCCACAGAAGTGGCCACCCGTGCAGACAGCTGCTTGCAGAGGAGCCCTCGCCTAGGCACGTCAGGAGGCATCTATATGAACTAACGGACGAAGTCCAGAGGTTCATTAAGCAACCTCTGGACCCGACAGCCTACAGACAGGCCTTGAGCGGCATTCACAGGGACTCAGTCTCGAGTTATGTAGACTCTAGACCTGTGAATGCCGTTCTAGGCACACCACCCCCGGACATTGACGAGACGGAGCTTCATCTGCCTCGGGAGACGCGCACCACACTTGCACAACTTCGCTCCGGCTACTGCAGCAGGCTAAACTCCTACCTGAGTAGGCTGAATGAGGATGTGCCTAATGAATGTCCGGCATGCGGAGAGACCCCACATGACTCGAAACATCTCTTCGCATGCCCGGCAAACCCGACATCCCTAACGACCTTGTCCTTATGGGCAAACCCCGCAGAAGCTGCACGCTTCCTAGGGTTGCCGTTAGTGGAACTTGACGACAACGACTGAGATACCAACCGATCTGGGCGGGGTTGTTGTAGCCGCTACAACAACAACAACAAATTGAAGAAACAGCCCATATCCAAAAACCCCGGAGGAACACTGAAAGTATTCTGTATTTTAAATTAGCATATTTTGAACGAATTTGGAATGTCTAAGGTGGAAAAGAAACAAACCTTTCTATAAGGAAACAATTATAGAAAAGGAATTTTCTTACACTGTATTCATGTCTCCGCCAACAATTTGTGACGACATCATTTAAAAGCAGCTAAGGAGAACGACGACACTATTTATTAGATGGCACATTCAACAAGCCAATGTGCCAAAATGCGGGTATAAACAATTATTGATTACTTAATATCGGAACCGAGATCACGTAAGTTAATTGATTGGTTTTCACACACTTTTGAAACACAAATTATATGATTTTTTACTGCAGACAAGTTGTTGCCAAAACACAGCAGAAATCTTCCAATAACCTTTAAAAAATTAAAAATTTGAAATGTCGAGGGCTTAAATTCATTAATACCCTCTATCTGCAATTTGCACAAAAACTAATTTGTGATTTTAGAAACCATCTGGGACTTATTACCTGCCATCACTGATATATTACTTCTGATTTCCAATTTATAATAGTGTAAACTCTTCTGTCAAGCGTTATATAAAGTAGCGTTACCACCGATGACAGTTAAATCTTAGGTGGATTTTTATATCAGAATCTCATCTTTGTGAAAAGTGTACAGATAGAGGGTATTATTGAATATAAGCCTTTGATTTGTAAAATATATTCAAATTTTATTTCAACGTATAAATCTACCTGTAGCGTAGCGTGACAAAGTGTGGCGCGCGGGGTACGCGGTCCGCCGACAAGCTAAGCAAATTTAATGTTTGAAAGAGCAATCATGTCAATAAATTTTATCTCGCTTTTGAAAAGGTAATAATGTGGTGCGAAATAAAGTCAATTGACCTTATTTCCGTTGATCTTAGTACCTGTCACCTATTGTAAATTATGCATATGGGGCGATTCACGTCAAATATCTCAGGCGCGCTTAGCGCTGCAAAACAAGCTAATTTTCGATTAGCTGGAAAGCAGACAGAAAATGGGAAAAATAATTCGAAAACTATGATTTTTTAACGGGCTATCCGATGGTTCTATGCGTTTTCCGAAATTTTCCCTTTTTCATGGTGAAAATTCGGAACGAAAAATTTATTTGTAATTTTTCTCGATTATGGTCATTTTTAATATTGTTTTAAGTTATCTCAATGGAAATATCAGGCTTTTTTACATAAAAGTTTTTAATAAAAAGGGGACTTTTTTTTGTCTTTTCGGGCTAGAAAAGCGTTTTAAAACGCGCGTTGTATCATTTCGGCTAAGTTTGCTTGCACGAAATAATCCCTGCAGTAAAATTTAGAGACAGTCTCTTAAAGCGCTAGTTCCGCCCTACACATTTCAGAACCATCTCTGATCTAGTGGAAAACGGCTGCAGAGAGGGACAGTTAAAACTTTCGGTGTTTAGTTGCGCTCTGTTGAGAAGTAAATGCAGAAATTCTCACTTCTCGTACAATACGAAAATAGCTCAGCGGGAAGACCTCCGACTCCAACATCGTTGTTCACGAGTTCAAATCGCGGTGAAGGCAGTTGTGATTTTCAGATTTAAGAAATTTAAATTAATGAGTGCCGCTTAAAAATTGAAGAGAAAGTGATCAAATTTAATATAAACAAAATAAAAAAAATAAATAAAAATTTAATAGAATGCAATCTCTAAAAGAACAGAAAAAACGAAAAAATATAAAAAAAATCTAATAATCAGAATTTTTTTAAATAAAAAACTTATTGTCGCAGATGTGTCCAAAATGGAACCAGTGCAGAACTAGTTCAAAAGTTCTGCAGAGGAGTGCAATTTCCACTTCGTGGGACATCGCCATGTAAAAAGAGACAGTTGAAAGCATTGCGTTGGGATAGATCAAGAACCAGTACCGCCTCTTAAACGGCTAGTTCTGCGCTAGTCTTGAACTAGCGCGATTTACTGCAGGGAAAACATCAATCTGTGATAGCAGATTTTAGCAAAATTATCATTTAAACTCGCTATATCTCAGTCGTTTGTGTATCGATTGATTTGAATTTTTAACACAACTACAAACTATTCCAAGGAATTTAAGTTCAGCAACACTTCTTCATACTTAGTACAAACAAAACCAAAGGTTTTTCAACTTTTTTTTATGAGAATTGATAGCATGGTTTTTTTTTTTCAAATGCAAAAGTTGTGTTATAAAGTTTGAAACAATTTTTTGTTTTAAAACACTACTGTTACAATGTTATTATTATGGTTAGCAGATTAGCGCGCTCTAAAAGGCTTTATAACTCAGAAAAATAAAAAATGCCAATTTTTTATTAATGCAATATTAAAACGACCAATAACCTTTAGAAGGTGCAATATGTAACCAATAGCTCGATTTCTTACTACCTGGAGCAAAATATGCTATTGAAACTAGCAATATAACTAGTACGAAAACGATAATTCTTACCGAACTCGCTGCAGGGTAAGTAAGCTTTGCCCACTTGCCAAAAATTGTACGAAAAACCCAATTTGTTTGCTAAGGCGATATTGTAAATACAAATTTGAAGAAAATGATAAAGAATTCCTTAGCCACAATGCGCAAAAGAATTTAAATAAACGCATAAATTTGAGGCCGGTATTAAAAAAAAGTTGCTTAACTTCATAAATTATTACCTGGTTTCCGTAAATGGAGCATCAAGTTATATGATATAATTTTCCTATTTGAGAAATTTTTTTTTGCAATAAACGATTTTCAAACTGGAAAAAATAAATGAAAAAGAAGAACCTCGAAACAGTCTAATACCATGTTCGGACTAATATCGAAAACATGTTTTCACAGAAAAAAGTGGTTTTCATATGAAATTTTTCAAAAAAGCCCAGTCTTCGCTGAAAACTACTTGAAATTAATTTTAATTGGTGTGTGCACTAGTTTGTTCCATTTATTTATCGAATTAGAAGTCATATTTTATCATCATTAATATGCCAGTTCGGGTTTATTTTTGATTCGCTGGCCAAATTAAAATAAGAATAAAAAAAAAGTTGTGAAGTGATGGGATGAAAGGAGTGAACTTGTGTGTTGGATTCATGGCAGCCGAAAATTGACGATCTGCGCGAGCATCGTGGAAATGGTCACTTTATTGATGAGATGGCATAGGAGCTGCAGCGACATTGTATCGTGTTCACACCCGCAGAAGTCAAATCAAAGTGCACAATTTAATAAAAAAATTAGGCAAGTGGCATATGTAGTACATTGAAAATGAAAATGTTGATAATTAACAGCATAATAAAGTACCTACAGAAAGGAAAATGTAGCAGTTGCGCCACCCGGTGGTTCGCCCTCACAGTGGAACTTCAGTAAGAAAGTTTATTGGTTTTTATTTGTTGAACAAGCCAGCTCCGAGTTGCTGATTTTACTGGAAGATACTTTATTGTTGTTGTTGTTCTTGTTGTTGTTGTTGTTGTTATAGCAGCACTACTAAGTCCCGCCTATTTCGGTTCATCATTGTCGTCAAACTGTTTCAATAGGGTCGGACCAAAAGGAGATGGGTGTCAGTTGAGTAGGATTGAGCTGGTATATGAAGAGGTGGTTGGTGTCATGCGGGGAGTCTCCACATGCCGGGCACTCATTGGGGATATTGGGGTCGAGTCTGGACAGGTAGCTGTTGAGGCGGATACAATATTCAAACCGTAACTGAGCCAGGATAACGCGGGTCTCTCTTTTGGTAGTTGAAGCTCCACCACTTCTACAGGTAGTGATTGTGCTCCAATCACGGCATTCATAGGCCGGCAGTCGAGGCAAGTGGTGACCGACTTCCTATGAATGTTGATGTTCGCTCGTCTTCTTTGTCTTATTCATGTGTTCTTTCTTCATCTCCACAATCGTCGGCGTCAACGTGGAGTACGTTAACACCAGTGGCATAACCAGCGAGCTTTTGAGCAAAAAGCGAAACCATTTTCAGAGGCAATAAATCATTACTTGACTTGTACCGAAATGAGAAATAAAAATGGTAATTTAATTGCTTTATAGATAAAGTATTAATTTATTTACTATCCGGCCCCGTATGCGCTTAATGTCTACATAAGTATGCACATACACGCATTTCGAGAAAACCGGTGGCAACCCTATTAAAAAATGTAAAGCCTTATTGCAAAAAAAAACCGAATGGCCAAGCGCTTTCATTTGACATCTTATGCTTTTAATAATTTAGACAGGTGGCCAAAAAATAAAACCTTATTGCATATCCCTCTTTTTTCGTATTCCAACGAACAGCCCAAATCTTATAATTTTTCGCATAGGTGGCAACCCTCTTCGAAAAAATAAAACCTTATTGCACATCTGAAGACCTCATTTTTATACCCGACCGCACTTGTGCACAAGGGTATATTAATTTTGTTCACATAACGGTTGTTTGTAACAGAGAACAAAACGGATCGAGATAGATATAGACAAATGTGTACATAAATGCTCAGAATGAATAGAGAAATCGATTAAGCCGTGTCTGTCTGTCCGTCCGTCTGTCCGTCTGTCCGTCCGTCCGTGTACACGATAACTCGATCAAAAATTGAAATATCGCAACAAAATTTGGTATGTAGGTTTAGTAACTACTGAAGATTATTCACTCAAAATTGATATTTACAACAATTTTTAGATAAAAAAGAAAAATATTAAAAACTTTTGGAAAATGGGCGTAGCCACGCCCACTTATGGTTACATGTGTATATCTTGGTAACGGCTGCACCAATTTTTTCCAAACTTGGCACAGTTGTTGGCCTTGGTGCAGCATACTAAATGGCCGAAAATTTAAAAAATCGGACAATAACCACGCCCACATCCCATATAACGGTAATTTAGAGAAGTACAAAATCTTCCATAAATCAGTAAATATCAGGGACCGTAACGGTTATAAGTTTTATTATAAAAATCACTTTGTAATCGTTAGTAACTGAGTTTTATTTTTTGCTCGGAAAATAATGGTTACGTTTTAAGTTTTATTTTTTGCTCGGAAAATAATGGTTACGTTTTAAGTTTTATTTTTTTGCTCGTAAAATAATGGGTACGTTTTAAGTTTTATTTTTTGCTCGGAAAATAATGGTTACGTTTTAAGTTTTATTTTTTTGCTCGGAAAATAATCGTTACGTTTTAAGTTTTATTTTTTGCTCGGAAAATAATCGTTATTTCTTGAGTTTTATTTTTTGCTCAGAAAATAAAACTTAATTTTTGCGTATGCGTATGCGCTTTTTTGCACTTTTTCTTTGTAAATGTGGTTATCTTTGTTTCTGCCCTGGTATCTGTATTTTCATTACCCACTCCACAGTGGCGTTAAAGGTTCAATGCAGCCGCCCCCTGTCTATTCATGCATGCGCATACGCATACGCAAAAATTAAGTTTTATTTTCTGAGCAAAAAATAAAACTCAAGAAATAACTATTATTTTCCGAGCAAAAAATAAAACTAAAACGTAATCATTATTTTCCGAGCAAAAAATAAAACTTAAAACGTAACGATTATTTTCCGAGCAAAAAATGAAACTTAAAACGTAACCATTATTTTCCGAGCAAAAAATAAAACTCAAAACGGAACGATTATTTTCCGAGCAAAAAATAAAACTCAAAACATAGCGATTATTTTCTGAGTAAAAAATAAAACTCAAAATATAATGATTAAACTTGATTTTTATAAGTAAAAATTAAAAAATAAAAATCAGCGCCGCTGAAGGTACTCCGAGTAATAAGAAATATATTGGTTTACTCCTTATGCACGTAGCATTTCTCTTTCCGCGTGATTTTTTGAGTTGAATTTTCAAAGGATAATCGTTATTTGCGGTCCCTGGTAAATATTAAAGTTAATTTATTCAAAATTGATGCTTGCGAAAATTCTTTACCAAGAAATACGTTTATGGTAAAATTTTTGAAAATGGGCGTGGCACCGCCCACTTATGATCACATATATGTATATCGGTAACCGTTCTACCAATTTTTACCAAACTCGCTATTTTTATTGTGCTTGCCACATAAAAGCAAAACGTTGAAAATTATAGAAATCGGACTAAAATTACGGCCGCTTTTCATATAACGGTAAATTTCAGAAATGCTT